AGGAAGATGACAGCCCTGACTCACACATACACAGGAAAGTTGAACATATCATCTAACTGGAAGTATAGTCTTTTCATAGATATGGGAAAGGAATTACAAATCGCAGAATCACGGGCATATATATCAAGGGTCTTATTATGACTATACAATAATGAATACTCAAGAAATGATTAATGCTGTGATAACAACATACAAGAACAAGTCACTCGCTGGATGTATAGTATATCCCTACTACCATGTTTGATGCTTTAATACATTAAGAGACAGCACAGACAGATCCAATGGGATGGAATGGCAGAAATCATGTGAACGAACTGACAAACAAATGGGAAGCTAGGGAATGAAGGCAATGGCAAGGACTGCCAAGAAAACTTTGATAAAGTTGTAGCAAGACAGAAATGTTAAAGAATATTATACCCCTTCTCAAGCTTAGACCTGCCACACATACTGTAACTGACTTTCAGGGTTTTCAGACTTGTGTGGAGTTCTACAGAAGAACACTAGAGATGAAGTCTTGGACTGTGGCCAGCCTGCAAACAGTGGGCTGCATGTGTTGGAATAGATGGCAGGAGGACACTCAACCAGCTGTACAGATGGAAGCACAAAGAACTGGGGGTGGGAGGGGGCAGGGAGTTGAACTTTAAAATTCATTGAGAGAAAAATATACTCAAAATACTTCAACCTAGTAAATAAGTAATAGAATTCATTCTCTGGGCAGAGATGGGCCATGAATTTATTAAACAAGTTCATATTTCAAGCAGCAGAAAAGTTTTATGTAGTATTTATAATAAATTTGATTTTGCTAGTACCTAACATGGGCCTCTCTAGTTTTCTGACTATATAAACATGCAGGTTATAAGTCATATTGCAATATTAATTAATATCAAAGAGTTAAATAGACAACTACTTAGAATACCTGCTTGGCTCATACATAATGATGTATTTTCACTGATATTTGAGTCCTACTTTCAAAATTTACTGAGGAACAGTATCTGTGTCAAATTTCTAATTTCTTAAACTTTATTTTTATTAGATGTCCAAAGGGGAGGTATTCAGTTTCATTGACCAATTTCTGTCGTGCATTAGATTGTAGTACAATTTACTTTCATCATCTTCCATCTTCCAAAACTGCCTTAGAAGATGACCATTTTTGTTTTATTTTAACACAATACTTGGTAAAGGTATAACTGCCTCTGTTCCACTGCATAATGCTATAAAGTGGTAAAAAAAAAAAAAACTCCCCCACCTCACAGTCTCTGAAACAAAATACTTTAAATTGAATTGTTAAGTCTACAAAATCCAACCTTCAGTCTCAAGGAATCCAGGCAGGGTAGGCTACCTATGATGGATATAAAAACTACTTTTACAAAAGAGTAAATGGTTTCCTGAGGTACTCAGTAAAGGTTATCATGTCAAACTAGAAGTAGGCAAATATATCTCTAAGTTTCAAGTTAAAATAAGAGGTCCTTAAGATCTCTTGCTTTGGCATTTTCTAGAACAAACTCTCCTAGCTGCTCACCAGGAGCGCACCAGACACGAGGCCTCAAGAGTGTTTAGGCTCCACAGAAGGACTGTTTCAGGTCTTGACACCAGGTAAAGATGTGCTCTTCTTTTCCCACAGTTGAGAGGCTGAATGACAAAATCCCAACCACTAACTTTACATTCTTAAACTGTGAACTTCCGCTACTCTTTAAGTTGTGAACTTTTTTTCTTAACTAAAATAGCACCAGCTCCCAAGTAGAATTTTGATATGAACTATATCCTTTAAAAGATATTAAGAAATAAAGATGCAGACTTTGAGATAATTTTATTATTGCTTAATTAGCAAAAGGTTCACTGAAGATAGTTTACGTTTTTCTTACAAGACTCTAAGCTTGAACTAATATTATTTTCCACTATAAAAGTCACAGTGCAATTAATCTTAAGAGACAACTGACAACTGACCCTTATAGGCATTACCACTGAAACACTGAACTTCAGAGGTAAGGTGGCCTCTGAGATTTATTCAATTCCTTCACAACACACACAAAAGAGAGAGAGGGAGAGGGAGAGGGAGAGGGAGAGGGAGAGGGAGAGAGAGAGAGAGAGAGAGAGAGAGAGAGAGAGAGAATATTAACTTTACACAGAACAATACTTTCAGGCTTTATTTTTACTTGTGTGTATGCCTAAGTGTGTTGTACGTGTGTGCGGGTGTACAGAGGCAAGAAGAGGGTATCAGATCCCCTGGTAGTTGTGAGTCATCCAACATGGCTGCTGGGAACTGAATTTTAGTCATCTGGAAGAGTAATAAGTGCTCTTAACTGCTGAGCCATCTCTCCAGAGCAAGATACTATTTTTGGAGTAAGAGCACAATTCTACAATTAATTAATAAGAATCTTGCTGTTCTTTAATAAAAACATCTGAATTAACATCAAGTTAATTTTATTGTACCTCTGGTAACTAAACTTCAGAATAACTTTTCAATTCAGCCTAATTAGTAAAATTTCAATAGATTTTATATTTAAAGCATGCATTCAACTATATGTATTCCAGTCTTTGATTCTCACCCCTCGGGCTGGAACATGACTTCGTGCATGCTGGGAAAGTGCTCTACCACTGGGCCACACTCCAGCCCAACTATATTCATTCTAAACAATATTTTAACTGCAATCTAAATTGCCATACAGTTCTCTCTTAAGGTAGGAATGTCAAGTTAAGAACAATCAGTTATTTGTCTAAGGCTCACCGCAGAACACTTTCTGATACATTTAACTGTAATGCTAGAAAAAGGTAAATTAAAAGTCAGAAATCAGAGCTTCTCAAAGTCTTCTCAGCTCTGCCCACTTCCTCATTCATCCACTGTTGATAAATTTTCTCTAAAACCAAGGGAGTTAATTTTAAAACATAATGCCAAAAGCAATTGCTAATTCTGGTAACACTAAGCTAATACCCCCATTGCAGCTACTCAGGGAATCCCTTAATTCTGTGAGGCCTGGGAAGGGATGGATTGATAAAGGCAATATATACAGAGCTTGCACTTGATACCAAGGGCCAAGAAGAAAAGTACCAAAATGATAGGAATAGCAAGGGCAGGCTGACTTACAATTCCTCAGTACAGATGTAGCTTCTTATGTGCATTATTTTAGATTTCATATCTAATATGTGAGGCAGGTATTATTATTATTTTCTTCATTTTACAGACAAAGAATCACAAATGGCAAAGTGGTCTCACATGACATTTGGGGAGCATTTTCTGGTTCACAATTTATAAACACATTTTTCTCCAATTGTTAAATATAGTCAAATTATTTTTGTTCTAGATCCTTGGTTGAGCAGGAATGCGAGGATAAGCAGATGTGCATTCTGGTTTTGCAGCCAAAAAAGAAAAAAAATGTTGAGAGATTTTACAATCTACTCAAAATTAGATGCCCAGGATATGTATTTATATAGCTACCATCCCTCTTTTCTTAACTGAAAACTCTGTAAAAAGTATTTTAATCTCTCAGAGAGGTTATTTTTACTTTATCAGATTGTTTTGTTTTTATATAGAATTTAATTACATATTCATACCATAACATTAAAACAAAATAATCAGATATTCTAGAATATATTTTATTTCCTATAATATTCCTATCTTTGGGAACAAGTTTAAATAAGCATGTTGCTGGACCACATCCTTTTTTCCAAAACAAAAAACAAAAAAAACAAAACAAAACATCTAAAATGTGCCACATGTTGCCAGCAGAGAGGGACACCGAGAGTTTAGAGCAGGAGAAAGAACATGTTTTTGAAACAGCCTCTGTACTTGAGTATCATTTTACCTTTTAGGAGGTGCAAGAATCTGACCTAAATGTCTGCCTGAAAAATGAGATAATAACTTATACACTGCGTTGTTGTGTAATTGTTTTTGGTTGCATTAAATGACTAAATGTCACATGACACATGAAAAAATGTAGAGCACAGAGTAAACACTCAAGAGTTACGTGTGTGTGTGTGTGTGTGTGTGTGTGTGTGTGTATGTTTGAGATAGAGAGAGACAAATTCACTATGTAGTCCTGACTCTCCTGGAACTCAAGAGACTGGTCTACTTCCACCTCCCCAAAGTGTGAGGGTGAAAGCACGTACCACCACACCAGGTCACACATATTTTTAAAATCTGTAGTTCATTAAATTATGTGAGAAACATTAACCATCATTTAGAATATAACAGATAAAAGGCACAAGAGTTTCCATATGCACACAAACACACACACACACTTTTGGAATGTTACTGGCAGGAATGATATATATGTGTGTGTGTGTGTGTGTATACATGTATATATACATATATATATATACATGTATATATACATATATGTATATATACATGTATACACACACACACACACACACACACACACACGCTCTCCCCCACCTTTTTCCTTCTGAGAAACTTTCTCTAGAAAACTGGTTATTGTTGTTTGTTTTTGTTTCCCCTGTGTTAATCTTTCTTCTTTCATTCCTGGCACCTAGGTTCCACATTAAGCGGACTCCTCCACCCTGTACACTTTATTCTGTGGTCACCACTCCAATGGATGTGCTCATCATCTCCAGCATGAACCACAGCCCTCCTTCCTTTACTTTCTTCCTCCTACCTCCTCCAGTCTAACTATACACTACCAGGAATTTCATTATGTTGTTCCTCTATTCAAAGAATTCCATAGGCTTCCCCATTAACTCACAGGGGAAACGTCCAAACTTCTCCAGCCCCCAAGCATTCTTACTTACCTCCCACAAATCCCCAGCATGCTTCCACTGGGCTTGTTTTATTGCTCTCTAATTTTTCTCTTTAAGGCTTGCTCATGCTATTTTCCCCACTGTTTACTTTGCATATTTTCTTTTGCTCATCCAGGTCTTATCATTCCTTGAATGGTCAGCCAGCTTAAATAATTACCTTTACATCAAGGCCTTTCTTCACAGTTCTGCACACAATGATCTCCTACGTTCCAAACTGTAGCTTATTGTGACGTTTACATACTGACTTGCTCTTTATCCGTTAGACTCGAATCACCTGAGGCAGGACCTTGTAGGCTAGCTTTGACTGTGTCTTCTACTGGATTTAGTGCAAAACTAAGCATAACATGTTCAGTGACTGGTAGTTCCATCTTGGTCCAGAGGTTCCAGCAACCCCATTAATAGTGAAAACAAACTTTTCCGTATTGTCCTCTATAAAACACCTTGTGTTTTCCCTCAAACTCTTCTCCTACCTATCTGACACAGTCCCTAGTCTATGGGCAAACTTAAATTCTAAACTAGGGATGGAATGTATGTACACAAAGTCCTGAGTGTTTGATCCTCAGCAAAACACACACATTCACACACACGGGAGGTGGGGGAAGAGAATATAAAATTTAGTAGCTTTCTTGGAAGAATCCATTTTATTCCTTGGTATATCCCATTCCATGGAGACTCTCTCTTCCCTGTCCAGTTCATTAATTATTAAAGGAATGAAACTTGTCCCAACTTGCCTGAGTTAATTCTGCCTCTGAGTATTTTTCTCTTTTTAACCAAGTTTTTCTAATATTTGTATTAATCAGTAATCAATTTATGATATCCACCTCCACTTCAGTCTGTCAATAAGTGTTTCCATCAGCAGTCCTTCACCTGCACACACTACTTCAAATTCTTTACTAGCTCAGCTCTGGCCTTACACCCCGTCTACAGCACGAAGCCAAGTCTCAACGGCTGCCAGTGCTCTGAGGGCTCGATATGGGGCTTCCTGAGCCTCTCTCACGAGCTACTTTAACAGTCATTCCTGTCAGCACCCCCATCCCAGCATCTGTCATACAGCCACGTTAACAGCTGTTCCTAAGTAGACTTGGGATGAGGGTGTAGTTTGAAAACAGATTCTCAATTCAGTGTATGCAGAATCAGTTTCCACTCTTAGTTATACCAAGGAGTTAAAAGAAAAATAAAATGTCTCCACTCCATTCTCTGAAATTCTGATTTAAAGAGCTTCTAATGTTTCCCAGGTGACTTTACTGTGGTTTCATCAAAGGCTGAAAACCCGTGTGGGATGGGAGTCAGGACCTCAACATGCTACCAAAATAACTCGATGGTTGGTTAGTTTGAGTCCTGTGCCAGGGATCTTCTGAATGGAACTGCACTTGGCAATGAGGTAATGCCAGGATTCATCAGTTTCTACCCTTCTCTTTCCCATCCTAGAGGGAGAATCTCATCCCCTCTTTAAACCTTCGGAATATAGCTTAAACGTTTTAGCCTTATTACGGATCAGCACGACCTCGCCTCTTCCTTACTTTGGACAGCTGTCACTGTTGCTTCTTTCCACACCGTCATAACCACACCAATCTTCTCAAAGAGCCACGACTACAGGGTCACTTGAATTGAAACACATGCTCAATTTGGAAAGACAGAGCTACTAATTTGGGCTAGAAGGAAGAATTGCTAAAATGTCACCCAAAGTAACTGATGTCAAAATTAGGTTACTAAAGAAACCTTGAGTTCTGCTTAACCCGTGAGGAGTCTGAAAACAACCTAAGAGGCAATAATCTGTCTTTCCCTGTCCACCATATTCCATCAAGCCTTCCCCACCCCATTGGTGAATTCAATCATCCCAGTTGCTGGCTTTCCTGCTCCACAGAGGTCAGCATATTTTTCCTTAGGCCCCTTATTGTGATGCCTCAAAATTTTTAGCTCTGAAAACACCCTTGGCAAATACACAATACACATATTGTGCTCTTAAAGTGCCATTTAAAACTTCGACAGCAGTGCCAGATGAAAACCCTTTAGGGCGCCACCAGAAACTGCCTTCCCAGTCCAAACTGCTCTCTCCCCCACTGTTTACTTAAGGTTTAAAATACCCTTAAACTATAGACTTTTTGACTAGTCCACAATCCTGAACAAATGTCTTTGCAATTCATTTGGTGGCAAAAACATGACTCTGACTTGAAATGGCATGAGGCAAGTAAGTTTTTTAAACCTTATTCTATTTAGTATAATCAGACAACAAATTTTTTACAGTTTTATGTATGATTGATTTTGGGAAACTGGCTGGGACTTCACTGTAGGCATTACATGTATTATATGTACTTAATAACCTTCTTAAAATCAGAAAAACTTGAAATTACGAAGACATATGGGCTTCAGATATTACACATTAGGCTTGCATCCACACTTAATCAACTTCTGTGATTTTTCTATTACAAACCTTCCTTTCAGTTATATTGGTATAAATACAGATTTGGGGAAGGGTACTTGACTTTAGAAACTAAACTCATTCATATAACTGCTTCTAAAAGCACATAGGTTTTTTTTCATCCCCCTTAATAACCACCTTAGGAAAAAACCCGCTGGGAGGCTGGGGAGGTGGCTCAGCAGGTAAAATCACTTGCCTCTAGGTGTGGGGATCTGAGTTCACATCCTCAGAACCCGTGTAAAGATGGGCTCAGTGATGTGCGTCTGTGATTCCAATGCTTGTACAGATCAGTATCCTGCCAACCTGGCTTATGAAGATTCGGAAACAAGAGAGCTTGTCTTAAATAAGTCCGAAGACGAGGACTGACACCAGGGGTTCTCCCGACCTCCGCACTGCACACCCCCACTCGCACATTTCCATACACCAGACACACGCATGCAGATCTGAGAGACACACACACAAACAAAACACACTGGTGTTGAGAAATCCTACATAATAAGCTCTGAAAACCCAGGGCATAAGCAGCCGGAACCGGGACTGCAATTTGAATGACAACTTGCTTCGTAGCGTTTCCCAAGGTATTCCCTAAAACCACAGCCGCAATTAACCAATCAGCTGGAGCTACGCTTTTAAATATGTCACTGCTGTCCAAGGTTTGCTGCACTGACTCAGGGTGAAAGAATTCTTTACCAGTTCTCAGTTATTACAGGCTTTAGACATTTTTCAGAAACCTACCAAATCATAATTCCAATACTAATACTTTATAAAGAGGAGTGAGCTATTTTAGTGAGTTCTTAGTCATTTTAGAGGGCGGCTTCGAGAAACTAATTGCAAGTAGAAATTTAAAAATGTATAATATCCCCTAAACTTTTACTATTTTGTCATGTACAGATGCGTGACAAGTCATAACCTTTAAATACACGAAAGCAAACTTACCCAAAGTATTTAAACAGTATGTCAAATAAAAATGTCAAAATCAGAGGTTAATTATAAGCAACCAGACTCACAACCACCAGTACAAACAGGGGAAAGGGAAGAAGGGATGATGTCCCATGACATCATTTGGCAGTATGTAGTTTGAAGGCTGAGAGCTCCTTCCAAATAACCATTGAAAATCCAGCTGGCAAATTACCCCTATTAGGCTTCACTGAGTTTTAAAAGAAGAAAAAGCCCCTCTCCTTTAAGTCACATGTCTGTACCACATGAAAAATAAAAGCATCAAGGATGCATCTAACCTCCCACTACCCTGACAACACCGGAAAGGTCAGAATTAGGTGGAAACTCGCTTCGGAGTCTGTTCAATCCGAAGGGAGAAAGGACAGAAAACGCGAAGAAGAGAGAAGTGCTGCCTCGGCGCCCCCAAGGCAGGTTTTCCGCCCCGGTGGAAAGCCACCACGGCCGCCCTCCTGACATCTCTGCTCATCCACCGGATGATGCCGACCCTTCCGATAAAGTAGGGAGCCAGACCCCAGAGAACAAGCAAACGCCCAGCGTCGGGCAGCGGACCACACTCCCCGAGTGGGGCAGGCAGAGCTCCCAAGTGTTCGCGCTTGCCCTCGAGGCGCGCCTTCCCCGGTGT